TGTGTAATTTTCTCGCGGGATCCTCGAGTCTGAAATGATCCAAACGCTCGTCCACGCTCAGCCTCCCATCGTGGACTCGTCCTGCGTGAAAACACGAAGCAGCGCAGTCCCGGGAGCGCGCGTGCGGGCGCAGAGATCCGGATCCGGAGTCGGTTCTCAGAAAGAATGACTCGGAGCAGGTGAGCGACAGGTGAGTCTCTGTGGGCAGGTAACTCTAGAGGAGGGGGCGGGGCCGCTGTTTTGCCCCGGGCTGTTGAAGCTGCTCTAATTACCCCCGCGCGCGTGACCGAGAGCGCGCTCACGCCACAATAGAGACGCGTCATGAAAGAAGCACCGGAGGGACGCGCGTGCGCAGAGAGGACCTGAGGACCTGAGGACCTGAGGACCAGAGGACCAGAGGACCAGAGGACCTGAGGACCAGAGGACCAGACCTGAGGACCTGAGGACCAGAGGACCAGAGGACCAGAGGACCTGAGGACCTGAGGACCAGAGGACCTGAGGACCTGAGGACCTGAGGACCAGAGGACCTGAGGACCAGAGGACCAGAGGACCTGAGGACCAGGACCTGAGGACCAGAGGACCAGAGGACCTGAGGACCAGAGGACCAGAGGACCAGAGGACCTGAGGACCTGAGGACCAGAGGACCTGAGGACCTGAGGACCAGAGGACCAGAGGACCAGAGGACCTGAGGACCAGAGGACCTGAGGACCAGAGGACCAGAGGACCAGAGGACCAGAGGACCTGAGGACCAGAGGACCAGAGGACCAGAGGACCAGAGGACCAGAGGACCTGGACTCGTGGACCGGCCTGTTTCTCTCCAAACTTCCAACAAAATAACAGAATATTTCATAAACCTGTGTAATTTTGTTGGGAAATTTTCATATCCATAAATCCAAATTCTCCAGTTCTAAACCTGATTTAAAATCGATCTCCTCCACTTTAAGAATTACACAGAGTAAAAAGTGAAGTGTTCAAATCGACTCTGAAAGAGTCAGTTTGAACATTTCCTCAGTGTTTCTCTGAGTCACTCAGTTATATGAAGGTTTAGAGAGTAAACAGATAACACTTTGTAGAGTTATCCTGATTTAACTCAACAACACACAGAGGAGTTTTATTTTGACACTTTATTTGAGTTAATTCAAGATGAAATTCAGAACAAAACTGGTTCTTCTCTGGAGGGAGTTTGAAGTCAAATTAACACTAAGAGAAGTTAAATTAACTTCAACCAAATCAACTCTGACAAATCACCCCAACTCCAACACACATTTAACTCTCAGAGTTCAAATCACACTTTTTGAGTTCAAAACTCTATTAAATTATAATATCTAATATTTCACCCTTGAAATTTTGCTGTTCAAATCAGAAGAATTAGGATTTTATTTTGAATCACTTCCTCAGTTTCTTGTGTTGATTTCCTGTTATTTCTCTGCTTCAGTTTAAGTTTGTTTTATTGTTGTTTAGTTTTAAGTTTTTCAGATCATAAATCTGTTTAATTTTTTTTCTCTTTCTTTACTCGTCCGCGCGGTGAACGAGGATGACGTGACCTTTAACAAAAAATAACCCTAACCCTTAAACTTCATACAAAGGACACACCGATACCGATACCGATACTGATACCAATACCAGTACTGAGCTTCAGTAAACATCACAGGTTCAGATCCACAGATTGGTCAAACTTTCATCTGTGGAAGATTCCAGTTCAACTATGAGCTCAGATTTAATGTGTTTGGAACAAAAAAATAAATACAATTTTAATCCTTTCTCTGATTTTTGTTTTATTTTCTCCTTTTTCACCTTGAACAAAGATGAATTATATTCACTGAAAACACATGTTCAAAATAAATATAAGAAAAATATAAGAAAAAATAAATATAAATGTATATTGTACATCTGCAGACTTGAAAAATCTCCTTTTAAAAACATTTAGATTAAAGACGCACTGAGGAACTTTTCAGGTTGTTTTTTCAGGTTTCAGGTTGATGCTTTGCCAATAATGTTCCACAATAATGTTTTAAATTTAAACATGATGATGAAGCATTTATTCGACTCAACACCTGCTGCATTAAAAGCCTCATGTCCCGCGGACCACACGTTTGGAAACACACGGCGATAAAACAATAAAGTGTGAAGAAGATTGACACAGACGCAACTTTAACTCTTCATCTGATCAACACAATCTGATTATTTATTAGACAAATTAAAAGACAAAAATTAATAAACAATTTATAAAAGGAAAAAGAAAAAAACATAATGACGTTTTGATGAAGAAAAACGAGACATTTTCACAGTTTTTCCAGATTTTGTCAGAAAAGAATTTGACAAAAATAAAACCAAATTCAACAAGATAAAAACTGACCTAAACCAGGACTAAACCAGGTCTAAACCAGGACTAAACCAGGTCTAAACCAGGACTAAACCAGGACTAAACCAGAACTAAACCAGGACTAAACCAGGACTAAAAAAGTCTAAACCAGGACTAAACCAGAACTAAACCAGGACTAAACCAGGACTAAACCAGAACTAAAACAGGTCTAAACCAGGATTAAACCAGGACTAAACCAGGTCTAAACCAGGTCTAAACCAGGACTAAACCAGGTCTAAACCAGGTCTAAACCAGGACTTTACCAGGACTAAACCAGGTCTAAACCAGAACTAAACCAGAACTAAACCAGGACTAAACCAGGACTTTACCAGGACTAAACCAGGTCTAAACCAGGTCTAAACCAGAACTAAACCAGGACTAAACTAGGACTTTACCAGGACTAAACCAGGACTAAACCAGGACTTTACCAGGACTTTACCAGGACTCAGATGAGTCAGAAGAGAAACAGTGCCCCCTGGAGGCTGGTGGGACGTTTTGGCTGCTACACTAAACATGGATTTGACTCCAGATTTGCTCCTGTCAGCGCTGACCTCATGAGCTTCATTTGACTGGAGCTGGAGTCTGTGGGTGACGTTTCGTTCTCAGAACAGTTTTATATCGTGTGTGGTCAAGGTGCAGAGCCGTTCGTCACCGTGAGTCTCCCTGATAAGATCCGTTTGTGATTCACGCAGAGTTCCAAGACCACGAGACGAGAGGCAGGTGAAATGTCTTGCCCAAGGGCACATCAGTAGTTGCAGAGCTGCCCTCAGGCTTTTTACTAAACTTTACAGAGACTTTTGTGTTTGTGTCAAAACAGAAGAGAAAAAACAGAGAACAGAGTTTTTCTGGAGAAGTGAAAACGTGAACGTCTCTGTGTCTGACGTCAAACAAGTTTGATATTTTGTTCTGACGTGACGAGAAAATTCAAGAGGAGATTTCGTCCGCCTGTAAAAGGTTCTAATGTCGCTTCCTCGTCACAGACCTGGAGTTGTGTTTGTTTCATCGGCTCAAATAAACGTTATAATACAAAATACAAAATGATGTTGTAACACTGAGTTCTTGGGTTTAGTCGATAACTGAAAATAACAGAATCAACGATTGTGAATTAAACTTTTGGAGATTTTATGGTAAAGTACAAAGTCACTAACAGAGAAATCTGAGTCTTTCTCCCGTCTGGGATTCTGACATCACCACGTTCTAGAACCTGAAAACCAAACCAAACAATCGGATTTAGAAACACTGGGAGCGTTCACATGCTCCTCCTTATCCCGCTCACTGTGGGAATATCCCACATACACTAACCCGGGAAACTGAACCTGGAACACTGCATCTACATGCGCCATGACGAACCGGGACATTCAAAAAATAATAATAAAACACTGATGTGCATGTAAACACACTCAGTGTTCAGAACTGAAAAGTTCAGTTTTCAATTTTCAATCCCTTCACTGGAAATGTGCCGATACTTAAACTCACAGGAACGGAACCGAAAGAGCTGGATGAGTGTGTCAATACATCGGTGCATCGGTTCATCGGTGCGGCGGTGCATCGGTGCGGCGGTGCATCGGTGCATCGGTGCATCGGTGCGGCGGTGCATCGTGCACTCCACACACTGGCACCAGAATCATTTGGAGAACTTTAGCTCTGGAATTGTCAATCTCTGCTGAACGTGAAAACTTCCACTCCATGACATCACAAAGTGTCATCGTTGTGAATCAAGTGAGTAAATAAGGAAAATTGTTCTACAGTCGGTTCATTCACGACCAACATGAGTCAGTTCAGTCACATTTTCTTTGTGTTTTGTCGTATTTAATCAGATTTTCTGTATTTTACTCAAACAAAAGTCAGTTTGTCTCTTTTCTGTTGCAGGATCAGTTTGGTCCAAAACAGAGACACTGGGACATTTCTGTATAAACTGAACAAATCAGTGAGACGGAGACAAAGGCTCAAAACTGGGACAGTCCCGGGAAACAGGGACGTCTGGTAACATCATGCTGGTCGGTCATGGCAGCCGTGGCGGTCGTCGTGGCGGTCGGTCGTCGGCGGTCGGTCGTGGCGGTCGGTCGTGGCGGTCGGTCGTGGCGGTCGTCGTGGCGGTCGGTCGTGGCGGTCGTCGTCGTGGCGGTCGGTCGGTCGTCGGTCGGTCATGGTGGTCGGTCGTGGCGGTCGGTCGTGGCGGTCGGTCGTGGCGGGCGGTCGTGGCGGTCGGTCGGTCGTGGCGGTCGGTCATGGTGGTCGTCGTGGCGGGCGGTCGTGGCGGTCGTCGGTCGTGGCGGTCGTTCGTGGCGGTCGGTCGTGGCGGTCGGTTCGTCGGTCGGTCGGTCGTGACGGTCGGTCGTGGCGGTCGGTCGGGCGGTCGGTCGTGGCGGTTGGTCGGTCGTGACGGTCGTCGGTCGTGGCGGTCGGTCGGTCGTGGCGGTTGGTCGGTCGGTCGTGGCGGTCGGTCGTGGGCGGTCGGTCGGTCGGTCGTCGTGGCGGTCGGTCGGTCGGGCGGTCGGTCGGTCGGTCGGTCGGTCGGTCGGTCGTCGGACGGTCGGTCGTCGGCGTCGTCGGTCGGCGGTCGGTCGGTCGTGGCGGTCGGGTCGTGGCGGTCGTTCGTGGCGGTTGGTCGGTCGTGACGGTCGGTCGGTCGTGGGGTCGGTCGGTCGGTCGTGGCGGTCGGTCGGTCGGCGGTCGGTCGGTCGGTCGGGCGGTCGGTCGGTCGGGCGGTCGTGGCGGTCGTCGGTCGTGACGGTCGGTCGGTCGTGGCGTCGGTCGGTCGTGACGGTCGGTCGGGTCGTGGCGGTCG